TTTTGGATATCCAGAAGCCAACCTCAGAAAGGGGAAACTGAGCATCTAAGAACATCCAAAATGTATCCCTTCTCAAGTTCATATGACATCCTCAAAACTACTCCTTTATAAAAAAAAAAAAAACACCAACCCTGTTCTTAAGTTATGATGAAAAGGGTTCATGCACCTCTACTCAGATGTAGGAAGGATTAATTTATTTAAGAGTAAGCAGTGAGTTCTCAGAGCATCCAAAATATATCCCTTTGCCTGAGTGTTTTCACAACCATTGGACAGACGAGCAGAAATTCCTATTTAGATGCAAAGGGACTTGAAGGGGATCTGAACCAAATGGCTGAAAGGAGAGAAAAAAAAAGCTTGACTCTGCAACCATGCCCTAGCTCCCTCCATCTTCTGCAGTGTGTCTTCTGCACCCCCTGCCCAGAATATTGGCCACTCTTTGCTTGCAGAAACCCTCTTTTATACCCATAGAGTCCCATTCCCCTTGCTGCTGCCCTTCATAGGTAAAAGAAAGCAACAAAAACTGGCTTCCTTTACACCGTCCAATTTGGGAGCCATCACTTCATCTTGCAGTAGAGAATGTCGGAGTTTAACCGTGTACTGTGTAAATCAACACTGTCCTTTCTCTGTTCTGCATTTCCCACCATTCAGCTTCATTGGATGACCTCATGTTCTAGTATCATGAGATAGTAAAATTTCTCATCAGCTTTCTCCAAACTGTGCATAATTTTATATCTCTCTGCAATATCCCACCCCTTACTCCTTATCTAAATTTAAAAGCCCCAAAGCTCTTCTTCCTAGGAGAGTTACCCTCTTGAATAACTTTGGTTGCTGTTCATTGCAGCTTTTCCAGCTCTTTGATACCATTTTTCAGGAGTGGCAACTACAACTGTAGGTCACAGTGTAGGTTTGTATACAAGTGCTGTAACAATGTTGGTTTTATTTTCAGTCCTTTTCCTGATGATCCTTCATATGGAATTAACCTGTTCATATCTGCCAAACTTTTTTGAGCTATCCTACATAACCCTAAGACCTCTATCCTGTTCTGCCACTGCTTAAACATATGTTCTTCTCAGTATGGTTACATTGAGCTATATGTGTTATTTTAATACTCTTTTCCCCTGTTTGTGGAAATCCTTTTAGAGCTCATCACAATAGCATAATTGACCTTATACACCTTTACTACCTTTGGGTTGATTATATTTAAAAAATAAAAAACTGATAGCCTTTATACATAAAGCGTTGGCCATTCAGGCATGTCCAACCCTTGGCCACTCCATGGATTATTGCTCTATACATAACAACTAGTGTTAACATAATTTCCAGTCCCTGCTATACTGCAGGAAGATTAGAGGCATCAATGAAGTCTTGCCTTTCATTTCTGTGAAGGAACTGAGACGCCATAAAAGTGAAATGTTTTGAGGTTTCCTCCCTCCAGTCAGGTGTGCCCACAAAATTGCCGGCCTAGTTCTTAGTGCTCCTGATTTTCAAAAGTGGTTGGGGAAGTTGACATGAAAAGTATTTACAAATAAAACATCCCTGGTATGCATGGTTATTTTTAAATGAGTTTAGGACAATGCGAATAAGGTGCAGTTCAGGTGTGGGGGCCAGTATTGTCAACACGCTCCTGTGTGTGTGGGGAGGTGCACCTTGGTGCATCTGTATATGCATGGAGACATTCTGTATGGAGGCCGATGCTCAGCTGTCACTGGCACCACCACCTGGATAGTAGAGATAAATTTTCTGCACAAAAGTAAATGCTTCATATTCAGTCCAGATGAGAATAAATTTGACGGACATAGAAAAATACATTGTCAGGTATGGCTTCCCCTCTTGCACAACTGAAGTCACCAACTGCCACGTCACACATTAGTACAACAGTGTGGGAATTGGCTTGACATAATTGTCTCCCACATTCTTTGCTGTATCAATTGGCTGATAAGAGCCATGCCCTGTAGGAAATATTGATCCCTCCAGCAAGTCATGATTGGAGCAAAGTATGAAGTGGCTACATAAGTTACTCCACTGCAGTAATATCTGACCACATTTTACTTCTCATCAGTAGGGTGCTTATCACCAAATATGGACAGCAAGGCTGCATCATGACTTAATATGAGGGAAAGTAAGTCACAGGTTTAAGAAGATGGTTCTCAAATGCTTGGTGGGCCACCGTATTAATGCACACAAGCTCTCCATATGTAAATCTCTTCTGTCCCATTTTCTGCACTGCACCCTGGCAGTGCCAACCAGCTTCCTACCCCCTCCTTATTCTTCCTAATATAGTTACAGGGGAGGAATATTTACACCTACATAAATGGGACAGATGTTGCTGGGCAGAGGTAGCATTACCAGGATCCCCCCCCCACCTGAAAGCTCCCTTTGTGAGTTGTTCTGCACCTCCACCCCACAGTGTAGGACAGGCTGTGCTTATTTTTCTCAGAAGCAGGTTGCTAGCCTGCCACCACCCATACATTAATAGCTTCCATGGAAAATCCTAGATGTCAGACTAATGGATCAGGAAGTATTCCCAGCAAGGAAAAGCAAAACCTCCTGCCTTGCTCCAAGGAGAACCACCCACAAAACAACCTTCCCCATGAGCCTCTGGAGCTTTTTTTAAAGACCCCCCTGTGGAAAGACCTGTATAAATTTACAGAAATGCAAGGAAACCCTCATCCAGCAGCTTATTATGGGGAAGTGTTATTCCTTTGTAGCTATCTGGTCGATGTCAACTTTCCCCTGGAGTCCAAATGTTGGCTAGGAGGGGCTTCTGCTGCATATATATTCCTTGAGGGCCTGACCTTTGTATGCTAGAAAAATTAGAAAGTTAATTGAAGTCAGTTGGAATTGTTTAGCATTAGAGATGCAATAGGTTTATTACCTTGTGATAATGGAGATTCATTACTTTGCAATCTCAATTTCATTTTGATATGGGAATTTGCTTTTCTTTTGAGCTTGCATTTGGCAAATTGTCACTTGATTATCCATGGCCAATGTGCTTTTCCTCACTGTATGTGAAATTATTTTATATACTTATTCTTTATATAATCACTTCTTCACCCCTCCTCCCTCTTGGAAAGTTTTCTGGATTATACATTGAAATAGTGGGAAGTTACCAATTTAATTTAAATGCATCTTTTGGTGAACATTGCACCAGACATTTCTTTGTAAATTAATTTTTCTTTGTACGTTAACTATTTTTGAAATAGCATATATAATTTGCAACTATGCATGCATGTATTTGGAGGCTTAACTTGAAGGCATATGAAACAGCCGTTTTGCTGAATATAAGCAGGTCTGTCTCTGGTCCACACTGGAAGGGGAACTGCCTAGGAAGCTATCTATGCCTTGAGTTCTGTTGTGAAAGCAAGTATCTAGTAAATAAATAGCATGTTACTTTTTGAGAGAAAGCTTAGTGGTTAAGAGCTTTCAGTATGAGTTTTCAGATCATGGTCAATAATTCAACAGTAGTATTTTTGTGAGGAGTGTGCATTTCAAGAGGTCTTTCTGCAGCCATGAACTCAGTAACTGGTTAGGGCAAGCCAATATTATGGCAACCTGTGCACCCATCATGCAGACAAAAGACAATACAGCTGATCTTAGATTGCTAAAGGTATGGTTGAGATAATAAAAATGAAATTCAGGATCACTCCAACACTAAAACACTGCTGTTATTTCCTTTATGTGAGCCCTTAAACCTTTCCTGATGCTCTCTTTAGAGTGGAGAGAATTACAGAAAGGCACACTTTGCTTTTAGCCCCTAGATCACTAAATGGTTCCAGTGAAATACTAAGGCTGGGACAAAGTGACAGACAGATAGAATCACATTTCACAGTAAGCTATGCTATGTCCCACGGCCTCTTGTCCCCAGAGAGGAAAAAACAGACTCTTCTAGACTACATAGTACTCGTATAGCTAGAACCGGATGCTGTCATATAGTTGACAGACTTCATCCCAGCATGATGTCGAGGGGCACCGCTCAAGCCAATTAACCAGATCATGAGCAATTAATCCCTTTTTGTTCCCTTGGGGCCATTATCACTGCTTCATGCTAACCTTTTACATCTACTCTCGGTTCTGAAATATCCAAATTCCATCAATTTGTTTGATTCCTTGCAAGGCAATTGGCTTGGGATGGAAATGAAATTGTAGAGCTGGTATCTATGATGTATTGCAAGATGTTTTTTTAATTTCTTCTGGTTAGTATATTCATGAAATCTAGTAATATTACGGTTCCCATAGTTCTTGTGCCTGTTTTACTTTCACAGTTGGGTGTGAATGCAGAACCACCATACTATTGTGTGTCATTTTTAACCATATAAAAGTTTGCCTTTGAGACCTGTGCTGAAGACAGTGTTCAGTAAGATTGTTAGCAATGGTGTTTCATACTGTAAAAAGTATTTTGACAAGTGTATCCATATGAGGCTTCTAGGCAGTTTCTACTAAAGCAATTCAGTCTAACTGCTGTCACCCTACTGATGAATACTGTTTGATCCAATAGTCTGTCCGTAAAAAAAAGGCAATTTTTGGCACTGCTCTGATGTATCCCTAATGCTATGAGGGTGCTGCAGGGACAGAATTACCAGAAATGATCTCTCTCCATGTTGTGTTGAATCAAAGAAAATTCCATTGACACAGTGACACAATTGATACAACCCAATGAGATAGATTCAGATTTAGGCATATGCAGCAGAGGGTCCGATTGAAATGGACTGCCCCACACCCTAAAAATGCTACATGGAAGGTCAGAGGATGCCTTTCATTGGGCAGTACAGCCTGCTGTATTCCAAAGGGCCTCCTGAGCTCCTGCCTTGTGAAAGAAGCACACGACTGTTTGCTTCTCCAAGGCCATTTGACATATTTAACCATTGCAATGAAACTACTAGATTCGCAACTCTCCTTTAAGGCAAAGTTTTCTTTAAATAAAACTTAGGTCAATTTCCCTCATCAACATTTACCTGTTAATTTCAACTATTATATACTGTTCTCCCCCCCCCCCCAAACAGGAAATTCTTAAGAATTTGGATTATAAAGATGACCTAAAGAGGAAGATTAATGAGCTTGAGGAGAATGAAAAACTCTTGCGGGCGAAAGATCATGAAGAGGAATGTGCGGCAGAACCACTTCAAATTCAGGTAAAAGGCCATGCATCCTCCCACCACTATGGAAAGAATGAACCCTCAGAAGAACCAGTCAGTACAGCAAATACCTTTCAGCCAGGAGCCTGGATGCCATCTAAGGACAGTGCCCGTAATAAATAAGAGGCGAGATGCAAAGTATTGGGAATAAGATGGACATGCTAATAAGTTCTGTAAGTGAAAAAGATATTTTCTTGAATATTTTTCCTTTAGTACAGGTATGCCCTTGAAAAGTCCAGTAACATTTTTAGAGATATGCTTAGCTCAGAATTCTTGGACATTGCTTGTGGAAATGACTTGGTGTCAATGGAAGCAAAGCTGGTGTTAAAAGATATTATGATTAAATATTTGTCTTCCTAAAACCATTAGTGGGTATCTTCCTTTCATTTCAAGTTTAAAGAAAATTGTTAGTATATACTATGCAGTGAAGTATATCTTTTAAGGCTGTTTACTCATTTTAGGAAATATTTTCTTACGCTCTATTACTCTATACTACTGTGCAGTGCTATTCAATTAATTAACAACTCTTCTAAAATGAGAGAATACAACTGATACTAAGGAAGATGGAAGCTGCTAGGTCAGAAGAGTTCACAACTCTTCTAAAAGAAAAATACAGACAACCAAATCAAACAGTGCCATTAGCTATGATCCATCACGTAAATGTATACAAATATAGCCAGCTGCATCTAGATGAGAAGGCAAATTCCACTTGAACAATGTTCTTTCATTGTTTTCAGACTATTTATAGAACCACACACTACAGTTACATGTCTTTCTGTAATAATTTTTTGGTATGCTTACAAACTAAAACCAATTTTAAAGTATGGTTTATTGACAGTAGAAATTTTCAGTGGGATGAATGCTGTTCCATACGTTTCCTGTAGTCAGTACATTAATATTCATATGAGCAGACATGGCCCAAACAATTTTTAAAGCGCACACGCAATTATACTGGATGCTTCAGTCTTGTAATGCATCAGAGGAGATGCCAGCAATTACTAGATTATGCCTTAGGTTTCCTAGCCTCATCAGTCCTTACATCAGTAGGAATGATGTAAACGTGTATTGGCCCTTTCAGCATCACTTGTCACAAGTCATGCCACAAACTCAGTACATATTCAGGATTTCAACCACTCCAACTACATTAGTCAATGCTCATGAACCTTTTCTTTGACAGTGATATAATATGGAGCTGTTGTGGCAGAAAGGATGGTTGTAAGTATAATGCACTACAGATGCATGTAATCCCAGTTTCTCCATAGCTACAGTATTGTACTATCTTTACAACTGGCTTGTAACTCAGAGTAGATTCTGCTGATTTCAGTATGCTTTCAGTATACAAATGCTGCAACAGTAAGCACAGCAGTTCAAACAGGAATAGCACAACACCTATGCATACTTATAGGGTGTTAAATTAACAGCTGATTCTAAAAAGCCTTGCTTTTAAGTATGGTCCTCTGCAACAAACAGGGCTTAATTAGAAATATAACAATGGCATCATTGAAATGCCGCCCCAAGCTGAAAGTATGTCACCAGCCATTTGTTGTCTGCCACAAATGAGCCTCCATCTGCTCCCACCTTGTCTTAGGAAGCTGTGGTTTGGTTCAGATTTCACAGGAAACCACACTTTTCAAATACTAGTTCTTAAGCCATAGTTTAAAATAACAACAGCTTCCTCTGTTCAGCTGTTATAGGAAACCGTGGTTAGTTTAAAATAGGAAAAAGCATTCCATTTCATTCTTGAAGGAAGAAAGAGGATAGTGAAAGAACTGGTTTCCTTTTCTGAGTTGCAGAAAGGCCACACAAATAGGGGCCTGTTAAATCTTACCTTAGCACATTGTTAAGGACCTGATAATGTATAGCACCTTTACTAGACCTAATAATGATGCATTTAAATAGGAAGAGCCAAGCCAAGTTCAGTCAAGAGACATTCATTTCAGTTTGTAGCCCCACTTTCGATTGCTACTATGCCTGCTGTCTTCTTAGATACAAGTTTACTTAAATGTTGCAGTGCTGTCATTTTCCTAGTATATCACCAGTCTGCTTTTTGTATGAACAGAATGAAACAGCATCTAATAATCCTATCAGTTTACAGAATAGTGCTCTAGTGTCAAAGCCATTATTCCCAATTATTGGTCCATCATAAGCCATACAGGTGGTCATACTTCACATTTTTTCCCAAAACATCTTGCAGGTAAGGACTGCCGCCATTTACATGCACCCAACTCCCCACCCCGCCCTGAAAAAAAAAAAAAAAACAACAGGAAGTCATCTCCTTCTGTGAACTACATACAATCAGTTCCATAGTACAATTCCTACAAACCAGTTAATCAATGAAAGTTGAACATATTGACTTTTACTATGAAATCAGACTTATATACAAATAAGTATACCTCATTACCATTTAAGGTTATAGAAAAGAATATTAAAGAGCAGAGCATATAGATTCTGTACCATAAAATCATAAGCAGTTAGATCTTTAATTTAAAAAAAATGTAATTCTTATTTTACAAATACATTCTGTACATGTATTGTAACTTACATTTTGCTTACAAATACATCCCAAATTAGAAAATAAGTCCCAGGACAATACTCCTTAAAAAGCTATTAAAATTAATGACAACATAAAAAGGACACATTATTTCAGGATTTCTCAAATTGATGCATGTCTACCTCCCATAAAGATCACAACACAAAAAGATAGAAATGTAAAAACAGTGCCTTGTTTAGAAAAGTTCTGTCCAGTAGGATTGACCTCTTAGTCCTTCTTTGTTCGTTTAGCCTTAGCAATATTTTCCTGGCGCTTCTGCTTCTTCTTTTGCTCTCGCTCCCTGGCTTCAATCATTTTTGCTAGTTTCCATGACAGTACTGCACTTGCTAAGAATAGGGGCATAAGGGCTAGAATCACTGTTGTAAGAAATCCATAGGGATCCTTTGCAGCCCATTCCACAATATATTCAGCCCAGGATTTGATATTATCAAACATTTTTTCGGCTATCTAATTGGGGAAAAGGCTACAAAAAAAAAAAAAGTTGATGTAATTAGATATTTGAGTATTAGTCAACATATAGTGATCTGTTACTTGGTTTATGAAACAATAACTTCATGCATTATAAAGGCTGCAACTTTAACACTATACCTGTGCATCCCTACTCAGAATGAAGTGCTACTGAATTCAGTATGTACAGTTACTCCCAAGTAAGGGGTACAGGATTGCATTGTTAATCGATTAAAGCCATTTTAAGCAACTCAAGGCACAATTCTATGCATGTTTGGACAGAAAGCTGACCTACAACTTCCACTATGCCCCAGCCAGCAGTACAGTTGTGAGACTTTGTGTAATCACACAGGATTGCATCTTAAGTGTTCCCCAATCAGTTATTTGGACTTTAAAACAAAATGCACACTCTTACAAAAAGAGGCCAAATTGGCATTTCCTCTTGTGTAAAGAGAAAAGCTCTCCTTTACAATGCTTACTTCAAAAAAAGCAAAATAAGCCTTTTTCCTGAAGAAAAAGGACAAGAGTCCTGAAGCCTCCTGTGGATGGAAAGTTCTCTCCATTTGTGGGAGCATGCTGATCTAGAAGGGGGATTCAACCAGCAGAAGAGGGGAGGCAGTCTCTAACCCCTCCTCTCTCTGTAGCCCTCTCTGCCCCTAAAAACACCACATAAGAGTATTTGTACCATGCTGTATATAACTCTTCAGCCACAGTATGCTAATAGGCAAAACTACATTTGGATCACAAGAAAACTGACTGCCTGGGTTATTTCTAGTAACAAAAGGGAAGCTGAGGAAGTCCTCAGAGTAGAGAGGTTGCTAGCATTCCCCTTTCACTGCCCTTGTAGTTTGAAAGGACCTTCAGGAAATCCTTCCTTCACAGAGGTCATGTGTATGTCATCCTTTTTCCTCCCAAAAGCTCATAGATTTTCACAATTTTTGTTCATTCTAACATTTTCTAATTAACCAGGGCAAAATGAAGAGGCAATGATGCCACAGCTCGTTTAAACTACAAAGGGCAGAATTGGAAAGAATAATCGGGCATGAAAAGACATAGGGATCATGCTGGATCAGACCAAAGGTCTAGCCAGCCTGCCATACTGGTCACATAGTGGCTACATGGACACGTCATCTTTGAACCGTCTGTTGTGCAAGATGATTTAAAGAGAATCTTACAGTTAAAAGTGGTTTTCTCTTCCATATCTTTCTTTCCAGTCCATGAACAAGTGATGCTCCTGAATTCATCTCCCTCCTCTACTGCCACAACCATATTATGCCAAGTTATTCACTGAAATCCTCGAAATCCCAGGAATCACCTATTTGTTATAATTTTTTATATTTATATACCATACTACTAAAGATAATAGATTACTTCACACTCACCCACGAGGCTAAGCAGCTCCAGTTTAATTACACACAACAGGACTGTGCTGAGCTGTATACAAAACTAAAAGAAACAATATTGAAAAATTTAAGCAATTTCAAAGTTTTAAAACTTGCAAAAACAATGTACTATGATTGGCATTAGGGTAGCAATCAATGGGTGCAATAGTGAACATACTGTTGTAAAGCTCCACGCAAAGTGTTAGTATTTTAACGAAATCAAAATGTTGTTCCCTTTGACTAAACAAATCCTTCTGATTCAATTAGTCACGGGAGAGGCATAGATGCTAAGCACAGGGCAAGTAGCTACACTTCAGAAAATGGGCACCAGACTTGAAACACTTTGCCGAGTACAATCATGACATATTTATAAACAAGTATCTTGTTTTGGAAGTTACCATTAATTGAAATCAAGATACAATTAAGGCGGCAAACTGCATACACCAAGGCTAATGCAAGAAAAGGCATATAGTAGTTCAAGAAAGGAAAACAAAGCTCCTCTCCTAATGGATTTTCTGGGAAAGTTTAAATGCAAGAGATCTTTTAAGTAAATGAGAACTTGCATCCAGGCAATAAATTGGACTAAGTTACTGCTATCACTTTACAGGCCATGCACCTGTATGCACAATGGCTGTTGAAATTCTCCATTCTATCTCCACCTGTTTGGCCTTAATAAACAACATACCCTGTTTCCCGGAAAACGGAAAATAAGCCCAAGCATGAATTTTCAGGATGCTCATAATATAAGTCTTACCCAAAAAATAAGCCCCAGTTAAGATCGTCAGCCAGACAGATTCATTTAGTATGTCTGTTGCAATACATTTTGGGGCTTGGAGAGTTATGCTGGCATTCCAGAAGAAGATGGCATGACTGTATTTGAATAAATGTAGATTTTTGTACATGAAAAAATAAGACATCACCTGAAAATAAGCCCTAGTGTGTCTTTTGGAGCAAAAATTAATATAAAACCTGGTCTTATTTTCAGGGAAATGTGGTATTCTATGCCATCATATAGCTAGAGCCAGTCCATGTGTCATACAAGAGTTTCATGAGGCCTATGTGAATGGAAAACCACTGTGTATTATTAATGAACCCCAATCCCTTTGCTGCCCTGCCCTCAGCTTTTCAGCAACATTCCTTTTGTCACAATGACTAAAGAGTATTCTCCTGAAATACCCTTTCTTGGCTGCCAATGGGCATTTTCCATTAAAGTTAATTAAGCCAAATTCTGTTCTAAATAAAGTGTTCATCCAGTCAAGAAAGACTTTCCAACTATTCCTGCTCAGAAAAGTTAATAGTTACTGTGAAAAGGAGGACTATCTGGGCATGTTCAAAAGTGCTATCAAAACTTCTAGGCCTACCAAGTCAAGTCTGATATATATTTGTTTAGAAGTCTATTTTGTTGAGCAAGACCTACTCCCAGGTAAAACTGTTCATCCTTACACCATAAATCTAGTTTTATGCAGTAGTGCTCCTAGAAAAACATAAAACAAAATATTGAATGTTGTAGATTAAGAATAGATGACTTACAGTTCCCAGACTTTGCTAGATTCTAGTTCCTATCTTCCCTGACTGCTAGCTATGGTGCTTGGGCCTGGTGGAATTTGGAATCCAATAATATACAGAAAGCTTAAGGTTGTCCACTTTGTGGATCATTTAATACAAACACTTAATTTTGTCATTGTTTTCTTATAGAAATGAAGAAAAATATTTTTAAAAAGATAGGAATGCCAAGGTATCTCACACAAATATAACCAATATATTCATAACTTGCAAATTCCCGAAGAAGCCAAAATTTATATCTTTCTGTCAATTAGTACTTTGTTGAAGCATGCAAAAAATATTTAAAGCTTTTCTATCCTGTCCTATTACAAAGTCTCAGGACAGCTGTACAATATTTTTTTTAAAAAAGCACAGCATCACATCCTCTATAAAACCCCAATTAAAATAGCAATTAAACCATAAAATATTGGGAAAATAATAAGATTTTGGCCTGGCACTGAAAAGAAAATGTGTCGGTGCCAGGCACACCTCTCTGGGGAGCGTATTCCATAACTGGGCACCACGGCAGAGAAGGTCGTTCTTCAGGTAGCCACTCTCCTAATCTCTTTCAAACTGGGCTCCCAAAGAAGCTTCAGGGGTGGGCAGGCATGTAGGGAAGAAGATGCTTCTTCAGATATCCAGGCCCTAAACCATTCAGGGGTTTATAGGTCATCACCAACACCTTAAATTGGGCCCAGACTTCAACTAGCCAGTGTAGACGGTAAACGACTGGTGTTATATGTGCATATCTGCCAGTCCCTATTAACATCCTGGTTGTTCTATTCTGACCCAACTGAAGTATCCAGACTGTCTTCAAGGGCAGCCCCATGTAATTATAGTTTTCTAAACCTACACATTTTCCAGTCACTTTGAATCAATTATAAATCATCAATATTTTAATGAGCTTTAGCAATATTTTAACCAGCTTTAATACAAATAGTTAAGAATAAATTTATGTGAAAATAAGCACTGGGAAAAGTTTTATCCCACATGACTAGTCCTACTCACAGCCACATGTGACTGAAGAATGGGTTCTCTCCATCCCTTGGAGATGCTTGAGAACGGTGGTGCAAGGGAGTAACCCATTGAAAAAACAAAACCCATACATAATAATTCCAAGTATAAAACAGATTGGTAATTATAATAGACCTGACAGTGTTATGCGGGTGTAATATAACAACTTAATACTGGCTTGTAGCATGGGTTATCACAGCAAACATGCCTACATTTAGGATTATACCATTTTCCTGAAACACACAGAAACTGCAGGTACTTGTGTTGGTTTTAGAATAATCTAACTTTAATAGGGGAATACTCTTACAAAGATCAACCCAAGATCTCAGAGAATAGCATCGACATAGTTGGACCTAATAAAGGTATCAGAACACAACAGCACAAAACATCAGAAAAAGAAGAAATTCAGCAGACGCAGGAAATAAAGAAGAATGAATACATTAATCTCAGTTCCAACACATGTGTGGTGGGCCTGAGATTTATGCATTCATTCCAGTAAATTTATCTCCTGCAGCTGCTGGATTCCTGCTCCATATATCTATATATATAGCTATATGGTATTGCCCTACAGTTACTTGCAGATCATTCCTGAGACGTTGGTTTTTAACAGCTGCGTGAAACTCAGGCAATCAACAGACAATGCCTTCTCAAGACTACCGCGCCTGCATGGATCTTCACCTGTTGAATTTCTGCCTACATGGCAGCCTTTAAAGCCAAAGCCTCAGATGCGGAAGAGGAGAAAGATTAAACAGAGGCTTAGGGGTGGGGAAAGTGACACTCCCTACAAAATCGCACCCATCCTGAGAAAAGTGCTCGCAGGGGACAGGATTAGAAGGGCTCCCACTGAACAAGGAAAATAACGTATTTCACTGGGGGGGTCTGACGGCTAAAAAACGCAACAAGAAATGAGCTGGTCTGAGGTGCCGCGCGGGAGGGGCTCTGAAGCGCCCCAGTTCGTCCCCGCCGTCGCCCTGCCTTTACCCCCACACAGGTGCGTTGCTACACGAAAACCACCTGTGCTCCCCCCACACTCCGATGGAACTCCCCCGCCTCCCCCTTTCTTGATTAAAGGATTCGCTCACCAGCCAACCGGAAGTAGGAAGAGGAAAGTGAAGGAAGTTCCAGCCTCCTCCGTCGAAGCGTACTTGTACCCTTCTGGATCATAGAGGATAAGGCAGGCTAGAGAGGTCCGTAGCGGAGAACCAGACTACCGTTAGGAAGACTCTACAATTAGAGTAGCTCACGCTTTCGTTTCGAAATGTAAGTTCCGGGTTCCATGAGGCTCATTGTTACTGCTGTTGCAGTGATCGCTGCTTACAGCGAACCGTGGAGGATGCTGCCTAAGGCTGATGGGGGTTGTAGACCAAAACATTTGGAAGACCAAAACTACTGTGTCCTCCCCTCAATAGTTCTGCCTTCTCACTAATTGTCTGCAGTGCTACAGCTTCTCATTCTTTCTCGTCATTGCTATCTCTTGCTTATCAGGCCGCTAGCGAGTAGACCGTAGTATCAGCTATTCATCATCATCAAAGTTGCCTGGCCAAGAGCAGGTAGCAGTGGGGACGAAGAGGCGAAACTCCAAGGGGCTCTTGGCCCACTAGAGTGTTGGCCCTCGGCAGGCACTGGCCATGCCTCCTGTTGGCGATAGCCTTGTCCTACGAGTTGCACACTCCTGATGGATTCTATAGGATCAGCAACTTCGGAATTTCTTAAGATTTTGGTCTAGAACTCCCACGAGCCCTTCTAGACAGCACAGTCAGTCGTGAGAGATGATGGAAGACATTGGTAGGCCAAGACATTGCGCGTGTTACAGTGAACACACGCATACACAAAGTAGAGGAGCCCTGAATTCGTCTGCCATGTTCTATTTTGCATTTCCCTTCCCCAACAATGCACCCTAACCCTGTCCAGCCCAGCATGTGCATATAAATCTGTCAATGCGAGGTAAGCACTTCATGTATCCCGTGCAGCCGAAGGCGTAAATTTCGTCCGAATAAAAAGCGCATTCCTGTCGTGTTAAGCAGAAATTGAGGCCTACAGCTCCCAGCATGCCCTGGGATACGCTTGGGCATGCTGGGAGTTGTAGGCCTTTTTTCTGCCTTAGCATGAGAGAACTCCGTCCTAAATTTGTCGCGCTGTAGCTGCCAGTGGGGTTTTCCGTGCTTTTAGCCTGCCTCAGGTCTCCTCGGTCTGCCTTTGTGCCTCCAACTCTTTCTGCCCCGCTGGGGCGAACGGTGGGGCGTGTCAGAGGCGCCATGGCACCGTGGGGGAGCCGACCGAGGGAGGATGGAGGCAAGGCACTTCCGGGAAATGCGGCAGGTGAACTTCCAGCGGGGGAGCCGGCGCCGAACGCCTGTCTCCTCGCCCGCCCGCCCGCGGGAGGTGCTGAGGCGCTCCATGGGCGGGGCAGGGGAAGGAAGCCGGCCGTGACCCGCGGCCGCGGCGCGGAGGGCGAGGGGAGAGACTCAGTAGCAAGAGCGGACTGGGGCTTACTCACGAGTAAGTCCTGTGGGCCTCCCCCTTCTCGTCCAGGGAGGGGTAGAATCCCGTTGGCACCCTGCTTTAAGCCGAGTCCAACGCCACCGTCCTCGCCTGCTGCAACGAAACACTGGCGCAACTTGACGCTAGAAACTAGCTTCATCCTCGGCATAAGATTGTTGGTATTAGTGGACAGTGGAGGATAATCAAAAGAATCAGTTTGATAATAATCGGTTAATGTTGGTTGTCAGATTTTTTTAAAAAAAAGTTTCTGTGCGGAATAGACAAATACACCAAAGTCCATTTTGCAAGTTTATAATGTAAATAAATGAATACATAATAGGCAGTAAAGACAAGGATTTGGTTCACAGAATTGGCTTTTTCGTTATTTTCCTCCTTAGTAGGACCAGAACATCCTGCAGTGTGTCCCCACTGAAAGATAAAGCACAATGGGCCAGGTGGTACAGATAGTTGTTTTAGTGGGGGTTGTTCGTGGATATGACCACTTCTTCCTAGAAAGGATTTATGTCTTTGGGGAAGCTGGAATCTCAAGTAGATCTCAAGGGCACATGCTCCTATGTTGATAAGGTGATGCTCTGAATATTATATGAAACACAATACCCAGTGGATGTGCTTAGCTTAGCTCATTATGTTATCCTAAATGTGTGCATGGAAGTTCCTTTGATTTCATTGGTATTTACCATGTTTAGAGTCACAATCTACCTGCTGTGCAAAAATGTTCCAGTTGGATCTTGTGTGGCAAAATAAACTGACCAGTCGGATGCATCATTAGGCCTTTTGACCCTCATTATTGTATTTTTTTATGGCTGTGCATTTAAAATGCAGCCTGAAGAGCAATAACAGAACATTTGATAGCCATGCACATACCTGTGAAAAAGATGTCCCACAGCGCCACTTTAATTTAGCAGTGAAAATGAGTGTTATGCAACTTATTGAGCTTTCTTTTTATTCATAAATAAATTCAGTATCTTGGTTATTGTAGAATATGATGCAGAACATCAGGATCAGAAGCAGCTTCTAAAGCAAAACTGGTAAAGGAAACAAACATAAACAGAGGCTAACCTAGAACAGTTGTTTGCAGTCAGGCTCTTCATCCAATTTATGTTTATTTTGTATTAAAATACATAATTACATTGTATTTAATAGAACTTAGCCTAGCACTCCAGTTCTGTGAACATTTATTTGACTTGAGGCTCCACAGATCCTTAGTGAGATCTATCTGATTATATACCAAATTGATACTCTGCTATCCACTCTAATAGCACACCAAAATGACTTAAAATATACTGGAAACAAAACAGATTTTATATAACCTTGGAGAAACAAGAATATATATAATGGGCTACATTTATTCAGAACAGTCTTCAACTGTTGACCAAAAGTCGGAAGTGAAAATGAGGGAGTTCCACGATTTTAACACTTTCATAGAAAACTTCCCATTCTCTTGTTCCAACCAACCTTACTTCTGCCAACAGTGGGGCACAAAGAAGGCCTTCTCCAAGTGACTGCAACTGGGCAGGTGCTCTTTTTTAGAGAGTGTAGGTTCGTAAAAATAGGGAGTGGGGAGAACCTCATACGAGTGGGCTATATGCAGCCCTCATGGGTTGCTATTTGTCCTTCCAGGTTTTCTGAGATGGCCATGCATCCATTCTCGTGTGCACCAATCATTTGTTCTTTTTTTATCTTTTGTACATTTTTCCTCTTCTCTGAAAGGTTGGATGTGTCACCTAAAAGCAGTAAGAACTCCAAGTTAAAGTGTGCTAGTATTTTGGTATGTTGAGCCCACCCCTTTTCCCACTTAACCAACCAAACAGCATTGGCTATTGGGCGGTATAAAAATGAAAATAAATGCATAAAAGTGGCCTCCGGGACATTAACTTTGCTCTCTGGCTGCAAGAAGTTCTCCATCCCTGTCTTAAAGCTTTCGGGCTTTCAACACCTCGAAGTTCATCTAGAGTCAAACCAGCAGGCAGCGATGCTGATAAAGGAGCGATGCCTCACTCATTAAAAGTGACCAGTCAGCAGCCTTGTAGCAGGATTTTGCACCAACAGAACTTGCCAGATTCTCTTTGAGGGCAGGCCCATGAAGTTCATGTTACATTAATTCAGCTTTGGTGTAACTAAGGCAGACTTCCTCAGCCTGGTGCCCTCCACATGTGTTGCAGTACCATTTCCATCATCCTAGCTGCCATGGCCAGACACGTTGACTGGGGATGATGGGAGCATCTATTGGGCCCCAGACTGAGGAAGACTGAACTAGGATGTGCAGCCATGGCTAGAGTCACCACCTCTGGCAGTGGTTGCTCCTGATGCACCAGTCAAAGCTTCATAAGAATATGTCTGACCACCATAGCCAACAGAGAATCTACTGTTAGTTCCATGAGTAGCCCCCACAACCATAAACTTTGTTTTGCTCCTACTGCATCTGAAACATGTGAATTCCCTGTTTCTTCGGTCAACTAACTTACTGTCCTAGAGTACTTTCTTGACTGAATTGGACATGTATCGGATTGGGCTGCCCAGGAATCTGCTCCATACAGCTGCCATTTTCATATATAGTTGTGAAGCTGTTCTACTGTAGCTGCAAATTTTCCTTGCAACTTTTTGCACAGGCTTTCAAAAGATTGTGTCTACAATTGTGTGGCAAGATCATTAAAGGGCTGAGAGAGTATTCTTGTGGTATACTCCATAATGGTAAATTGTAGTCTCAGTGTCTTGAGATTTTTCAGGTTAGAACTATTACTTGAAATGATACCTATTGAATGGAGAAAATGTTTTTTCTAAGATGAATCAAGCAGTTCATCCCGCCCTCCCGCCCTCCCTCTCTCTGTGCGTGCGTGCGCATGAGTGCTTGTAGTGCTTTTAGGGCCCTGCTTCTAGACATGGTGAGGCATGGGTCCTGAGGACCGGGAAAGAACCCCAGCAGTTCTCCAGGTCATATTTCCTGACAGGGCTTGCCTAACCGTTCCCTTCCTTGAAGGTCAAGCTGCATGTGCCATGCAGTCTGCTCTACATTCTGCCAGCAGTGGTGGTGAGAGGACAGT